GTGGGCCCGGGAGCACACTGCCTGCCGGCCCCACCCCCAGGGACTATAGAATAGTCGATTAACCAATAAGAATTCATGAGCTTCATTGACTATTCGGTCAAATGCTATTTAACATCCCTAATGTACACCTGTAGGGCAGGGGTGGCCAACCCGTCCCAGAGGAAGAGCCGGTGGCGACAGTGACGAGCTGGGGGAAAGTCTTCACTGCTATTGTGACTCACAAAAAAAGCCCTGGGAAGGGAGGAGAGGGGCAAGTTCTGGGAGAGAATTTGGGTGAGGATGCTGGCTCAGGGAGGGCTGGAGAGTGTTGGGGTGAGGGGGAGGGTTGGGGTGCTGTGTGAGGGTGAGGAGTTTGGGCTGGGATACAGGAGGGGCTCAGGGCAGGGAGACTGGGGGTATGATGGGCTCAAGACACTGATCTGCAGTGTGTGGATGGTGCAGGAGTGTTGTAGCGGAAGACTGGGGGTGTGGGGGTGCAGGAGTTTGGGGATGTGAGAGGCTCAGGACAGGGGGTTCCAGAGTATGATAGGTTCAGGTTTGGGGTCTGGGGGGGTGCAGGAGTGTTATGATGCTGAGGCCAGATGGGGCTTGGCCCCAATTAGGGGCTTGTTGGCCAGGCTTCATTTTTAAATAAAATATTATTATATTATTAAATTAAATATTATTATATCATTCCTTCCTTCCTCCTTCCATCCCTACTTCCTCGCTTCCTTGCATCCATCAATCCAGGTTCAGTGCCCGTGGGTGGCCTGGCTCATCCTAGACAAGCTTGGGGATTGGACCAGAATTCCCTAAATCTGGGCCCGTGTGCAAGAATTCTCAACCCCCCACCCCCCACCCCAGCTGTGCCCACGGGCCCCTCCCACTCGTATGACCCCAGGCAAGTTCCATGACCTGGGCTATACCTGAGCCTGGTAGGGTGGGTGGGAAACATACCCTGCCCCATTAAGCCCCTAGCCCCGCCCACTCACCCGCAGCGACGAATAGGATCCCAGCCCCCAGGATGATGTTGCGCTTGGACTTGTAGACCCGGCTGGCGGCCACACAAAAACCCCCCAGCAGCAGCAGGATGGCGCTAAGGATGGGGAAAATGCTGGAGGCGCGGACCACACCTGTAAGGGAGGGGAGCAGAGGAGATGTGTCAAGGGGCGGGATCTCCAAGGCTGGCCTATTGGTGAACAGGACAGTGCCCTGTGGCCAATCAGAATCTAAGCTATTCTAGCATGCTGAGGCCAATAGCCAATCAGAATCCAGGGTTTCTTGGCTCTCTGAGGCAGTGACCAATCAGAATCCGGGGACTTCCAGCCCTCTGAAGCCAGCAGCTTATCAGCATCTGTGATTTTTTGACACTCCAAGGTCAAGAGACAAATTACAATACAAGGTAGGTCAACAGCCAATCAGCGTCTCTAATTTCCCCCATGCTTTGAGGTCAAGAACCAATCAGAGAACAGGACTGCTTAAGGGTCTCAATCTGCCAGCCAATCAGCAGGATTACTCAAAGATCTGCAATGATCACACAATGTACAGATTTCCCGATGCGCTGGTGCCACAGCCAATCAGAAGGCAACTTCTGCGATTGCCAGCCAGTCAGCATTCAAGGCTTCTCCTTATTCCCAGGCCAACTGGAAAACACAATGTCACTGTGAGGCCAACAGCCAACCAGAACTGTGCGTGTTCCAACGCTCTGACACCCCCACCCAATGAGCATCTGGGGTTTTCCCAGCATATTAATGCCACCAGGCAATCAGCATCTGGTATCAGCCTCCAAGTCCGTCTACGCTTCGAAAGCTCTTAGCCATTGAGAGCCTGGGATTTCCCTGCCCAGGGAAAGCCATTAAGGCAGCCAAAAACAGGGAATGGCTCACGTTAAGGATGTCTAAATCCCCTTAACTCTCCCCCCTTGGTAAAAAAAAAAGCATCTCTAAGGATGCTGCCCCATGCTATTCCTTCAGTAGAGGGCCCTTCACGCCCAGTGGATGGGAGGGAGAAAAGACTGGGGTGTATTGAATGGCCAAGTATCTACCCAAATGATATGAAATAATACAATATTTTCTGCTGAATCCAATCACTTCGACATTGATTGTTGAAGATGGGCAGACAGATACAGTTGCCCCATCCACCCATCCCTTCTCATACACACCCATCCACAGATTAATGCTATAGACTACATGCATCAGCCCCCTCTTCCCCTGCCTGCCAGTACATTTTTTTAACAGGCTGGCCACAGCCTGGCTCAGTCCCAGCTTGTGCCGGGTCTGGGACCCACCCCTGCTGCAGCTCTGCATTTAAAGAGCATTAGGATCCGGGCGGGCAGGCAGCCCGGCTCTGTTCCAGCTCACACTGGGTCCAGGAGCTCAGACTCCCTCTGTATCAGAGGCAGCAGCATGGGTTGACAGGCAGCCAGTCCGCAAAGGGAGCTGGTTTTTAAACTGGCTCCCCTCGCAGACCAGCTCCCGCCTGGCACCCCACGGGAGTGGCAGGGGACACCTTGGGAGTGGGGCCAGGAGCACACTGGCTGCCGGCCCACCACTGGGACTGTCAAATAGCTGTGTAACCCATTGACTATTCGGTCAAATGCTATTTAACATCCCTAATGTACACCTGTAGGGCAGGGGTGGCCAACCCGTCCCAGAGGAAGAGCCGGTGGCGACAGTGACGAGCTGGGGGAAAGTCTTCACTGCTATTGTGACTCACAAAAAAAGCCCTGGGAAGGGAGGAGAGGGGCAAGTTCTGGGAGGGAATTTGGGTGAGGATGCTGGCTCAGGGAGGGCTGGAGAGTGTTGGGGTGAGGGGGAGGGTTGGGGTGCTGAGCAAGGCGCAGGCTTGTGGGTGGGCGGGG